GGCCAACAAAGGACGGAAGTCCCAGGAAAGTATCACCCACTGTGTCCTCTCCCACACATCCTTGTCCAGGGTTGCTCGAAAGCATTGGAGCTGACAGCCTGCGCCTCACCTCACCGTCTAGGTGACCTGCCAAGCAGCGACAGGAAGGAGGGAAGAAGCAAATGGTGAACGTAATTTACAACCTAGGTCATCAGTACCTCTACTAACAATGTGCACGTAGGTGGGCCACGTCTCGAACATCTTCCTCTACAAAGTGATCTCGTTTTCGGAAAAGAAAGCAACAGCAACAAAACACCACCACAGCATCATAGAATTTCAGAGCTGCCATAAGCGTGAGAGGTCATGCTAGAGTCTGGAATCTAGACTCCTGTTACTTGAAGCATGATCCGTGGACAGCATCAGCAGCCTACCTGAGAGCTTGTTAGAAATGCAGAATCCCAAGGCACCTGGCGGGCTCAGTCGGTAGAGCATGCAACTCTTGATCTCAGGGTTGTAAATTCAAGCCCCACATTGGGTGGAGAGATTACTGAAGAATAAAATCTCAATTAAAAAAAAAAAAAAGAAATGAAGAATCTCAAGTTTTACCCCAGACCGACTAAATCAGAATATGCATTTTATGGTAAGTTCCCCTAGGAAATTCACATCTACCTTAAAGCTTGAGAAACACTGGGATGCCTGGGTGGCTCCGTCAGTTACGCGTCTGACTCCTGATTTCAGCTCAGGTCACGATCTCACGGTTCATGATATTGAGCTCCGTGTCAGGCTCTGCACTGGCAGTGCGGAGCCTGCTTCGGATTCTTGTTTTCTCTTCTCTCCCTGCCCCTCCCCTGGGCTCACCCTCTCTCTCAAAAATACGTAAATAAACATGTGGTTTAAAAAACTGAGAAACATTCATCTAGAGCCGGAGACCAGAAGCATCAGCATTGCTTGGGAGCCTCTAAGTCATGCGAATTCTCAGGCCCATCCCAGATCACCTGGAACCAAACTTATGTTTTTTTTTTTAATTAAAAAAATTTTTTTTAAGTTTATTTACTTATTTTGAGAGAGACAGAAAGAGAGCGCAAGCGGGGGAGAGCAGAGAGAGAGGGGCAGAGGATCCGAAGCAGGCTCTGTGCTGACAGCAGAGAGCCCACAAACCATGAGATAATGACCTGAGCTGAAGTCAGATGCTTAAGCGACTGAATCACCCAGGTGTCCCCAAACTTGTGTTTTTAAATAAGTCCTCCAGGTGATTTTAATGCAACAGGCACCGTGAAAGCATGAGGGTAAAAGCCTCACCTTAAGGTAGCAGAACACGGGACGGATGTAGCCTATTTCCTGATGGTCCTGGAAGCGATTGCACCTGCCCAGGCCCGCCTTCCTCTCAACTTCCTGGTATCCGAGCAATCGTTCCTCTATTTGGTTGAGCAACTGTACTTGCGGTTCTATTACACGCAGCCAACTGCAAGCCTAATTTATATAATGCCCTTCACCCGTTATATTCAGAGAAAGGTCATGAGCTTTTGGACCGGGTCCAAGCCTATCAGTGGCCGACGATACCATGTTGTCACTGTGGGCCAATGTCATTCTTCAGCTGAGGGACCTGTATTCATTTCCTGTTGGTGCCGTAGCCAATTGCTGTAAGGGCAGTGGCTTAGAACACTACAAATTTATTATCTTCTAGCTCTAAAGGCAAGGAGCCCTAAACTCAAGGTGTCAGCAGAGCTGAATTCTTTCTGAAGGCTCTAGAGGAGAATCCATTTCTTTCCTTTTTCCAGATTCTAGAAGCTGCCTGAATTTCTTGGCTCATGGCCCCTTCACATTCCAGGCCAGTAATACAGCATTTTCAAATCTCTCTGTCTCTTAGCTCTGCTTCTGTTGTCATGTCTCCCTCTCCACTGTCATGATTCTGACTCTCCTGTCACCCCCTTTACCTTATAAAGACTCTTGTGATTCACTGAGCCTATTTGGATCATCCAGGATAATCTCCCATTTCAAGATCCTTAGTTTAATTATGTCTGCGAAGTCACTTGTGCCACGTAAGATAATACATTCACAGGTTCTGGAGACTAGGATGTGGACACCTTCAAGGGGGCGTTATTTTGTCTACCATAATTTCAGGGCACCTGGGTGGCTCACTCGGTTGAGCATCCCACTCTTGATTTGGGCTCAGATCACGATCCCAGTGTCGTGGGGTAGATCCTGTGTCAGGGTCCGTGCTGAGTGTGGAGTCTGTTTATGATTCTTTCTCTCGGGGTGCCTGGGTAGCTCAGTCGGTTAAGTGTCTGACTTCGGCTCAGGTTGTGATCTCACAGTTCATGAGTTCGAGCCCCACAATGGGCTCTGTGCTGACAGCTCGGAGCCTGGAGCCTGCTTCGGATTCTGTGTGTGTGTCTCTCTCTAAAAAAAAAAAAAAAAAAAATTCTCTCTCTCTCTTTTTCTCTCCCTCTGCCCCTCTCCTCTGCTCACACTCTCTCTCTAAAATAAAAAAAGAAAAAGAAGAAGAAAGGGATTTGTCCAAGGTCATATATGGCCAAAAGAAGAGAGAGAACCATGGGCAGGCTCCCCACACTGGCAGAATGCCCTTGTTTCTCCCCCTCCTTGGCTACAGCCCAGCCATTCTTCAAGGTCCATTGTCCCTCTGTGGTAAACAAACCCATCCTCTTACCTGTGTTTACGTCACTCATTGGCACCTGGCACACAACTGGTCAGCAATCTCAAAGGTGTACATCTTGTTCTCTACAGTCTTGACTCAAAGGCAAAGATCATATTTTAGGCCTTTTTGCATCCCTAGAGCCCACTGAGCCCAGAGAGTAGAAGTTCAATACATGTGTATAGAGCATGATGTGATTGGCAGATTACCCAGATCGACTCACTCAGCTCCCATATCACAGAATCTGGAAGGCTAAAAGCTGCACTTCCCAGACTCCCTTGCAGGTCGGACTAGGTGCCACAAAGCTAGACATGGTGGAAACGAGGTAGGTGGTGGCCACAGGTGGAGAGAATCCTTCAAGGGCATGGTGGTGGACAGATTTGGTCCTTTGGGGCCTTTACTGTCAGGTCTCTGGCATCTTAGGAACCAAGTGGCGGGGCAGGAAGACAATGGAACGATGTAACTGGCCGTTTCACAGAGCTGCATGGCTCTTGGCTGTAGAGTACTTGAACTTGGTTCTTTAGTTCCCATGGAAATCCGCAAGCTCCTTACTGCCTGATGTGAACATAACCCTTTAGCTGGAGTGGTTTCTATCATCTGCAACTAAGAACCGTAGCTAATATAAGGTCTAATATTCTTTTCTCCCCCAACCAGATTGCAAATTACCAAAGGGCAGGAGCTATAGTTTACATCTCTCCTGTAAAATCAACAGAGCACACCATTCCCCAGGAAACTGAGAGATGTTGATATGTACAATTCATTGAACTGGGTGAAAGTTTTTTTTTTTTAAGTTTATTTATTTACTGAGAGAGAGATAGAGAGAGAGAGCATGAGCAGGGGAGGGGCAGAGAGAGAGAGGGAAAGAGAGGGAATTCCAATCCACACTGTCAGTGCAGAGCCTGACGGCAGGCTCCAAATCACGAACTGCAAGATTGTGATCTGAGCCGAAACCAAGAGCCTGACGCTTAACCAACTGAACCACTGAGGTGTCCTGAACTGGGTGCAAGTCCTAAAATTCCGACAATTTCTTCATCCTATCTGTGACTCAACAGGCTGAAATGAAGTGGTCATTCAAATATGGTCTTCTTTTGATACCTCAAAGCTAAGTCGTGCCCAGAGGAGTCTGATTTTTTTCAAATTTCAGTTTAAAACTTGGAAAAGTCAGAGGGACAGTTAAGGGAACCCTCCCTCTTTTCTACCAATTTTTATTTATTGTAAAAATGGTGTAGCGTTAGGGGCGCCTGGGTGGCTCAGTGGGTTGAGCATCTGACTTTGGCTCAGGTCACGATCTCGTGGTTCGTGAGTTCGAGCCCTGTGTTGGGCTCTGTGCTGACAGCTCGGAGCCTGGAGCCTGCTTCAGATTCTGTTTCTCCTCTCTCTGTCCCTCCCCTCCTCTCACTCTGTCTGTCTGTCTCTCTCTCTCAAAAATAAACAGTAAAAATTTTTTTTAAATAAAAAATGATGTAATATTAAAGGGACTGTAACAATTCATCCAAAATATGACTGGTCTAACACACTGCAATATTCCCATGTTCCTCCCAGCCCTATTCCTATGCACCCTTAATTTTGCATGGCGGTGGTCTACATTATAGTTTCGTAGTCTGCTTTCTCATATGTTATAACACGAGCACTTTCCGTGTTGCTATCTAGTCTTCATTTTTGATGGCATATTTATTTCTGTAGCCATGTTATACGTGCTTGCACATTCACTTTTCTTCCAGCTCGTTGTGGCATGATAGCTTCCATTGCACTCATGGTCTTGAGAATCATTTCCGGAGCATCACTTCCCAGGCATAGGATTGTCCGGCCAATGGATCCAACTATCTCCACTGCTGCTTTTTTTTTTTTTTTTTTTTTTAACATTTATTTATTATTGAGAGACAGAGAGAAACAGAGCGTGAGCAGGGGAGGGGCAGAGAGAGAGGGAGACACCGAATCTGAAGCAGGCTCCAGGCTCTGAGCTGTCAGCAGAGGGCTCGACGCGAGGCTCGAACTCACAAACCCGCGAGATTATGACCTGAGCCACCCAGGCGCCCCCAACTATCTCCGCTGCTTTTAAGGCTGGTTATTTTCTTCAGCCAGAGGATGAGGACACCAGCGATCTCTTTAACTTTTGCTACAGGTGTCTCCGTGTGGTCTACAAGTGCCTCGTTCTGGTTTTTAGGGAGGGGCTTGTTTTTTGCTTTTCCTGACTTTGGTCCACTGATCTGGGAAGACGGCTCCCATTTCGCGCGCGTGCGGCCGGGAGTTGGGAGGCGGCGACCGGCGGCCCCGGCTTTGCGCCCCGCGGTTCCGGGTTTGCGCCCGGCGGAACGGCCCCGCTGGCCCCGCCCCGTCGGACTACCCGGCCCAGGACTACACTTCCCAGGCGCCCCTGCGCCGTAAGCCCGGCCGCAGTTCCCAGCCGCGAGTTGGGACGCGGAGTCTGAGGAGTCAGAGGTGCACAGCGGCGCGCGATGGCTGCGTGGAGCGAGCGGCTGGCAGGCGTGCGCGGGGTGCTGCTCGACATCTCGGGTGTCCTGCACGATAGCGGCGAGGGCGGCGGCGTGCCCATCCCTGGCTCCGTGGAGGCGCTGGCGAGGTGAGTGGGCCGCGCCGGCCGCGGTGGGCGCGAGGCTCCGCGTTGCCGAATCCCACCAGCAGCTTCTGGCCCCCGCCGGGGACTGGGCGGGGCTGTTGCACTGGCCCCGCCCCGGTCCCTGAGAGCCCACCCGGGCGGGACCCCGTCACAGCCCCCCGCCGCCCCTCCACCCCCGCGAGCATAGGGCCTGTGCTGGTCAGAGCTGCCCGGTCCTCTGGGGCTGCCTTTTGCTTCCTGCCGCTGCTGAGCGTTAGGTAAAATAACATACATTACATTCCTTTTTTTTTTTTTTTTTTTACATTTTTGTTAATGTGGTTACAGGAAAACTTTAAATGACGTATGCGCTGGCATCGTTTGTTTAGAGGGGAGGAGGAGGAGGAGGAGGAGGAAGGCATCTTGCCCACCAAATCTTGTGCACAGAGGACCACACAGGGACCACAGTTGGTACTACTGGACCCTCCGCTTTGTAGCTGCCATTGATTGGCACGACAGGCCAGTGCTGCCATGATGTTGATGGACAGCCAGGAAGGGCCAATGGCCCAGGACTTGACTTCCCAGAGGCACTAGCTGGGAAACCCTGGGTTAGTGGCCTGACCTCACTAGGACTCAGTTTACCTGCCTATGGATGGCAGTTAAGTGAGCCTCTTTGTCGTTCTCAGGGAGCCCACCCCACCTGTCTGGACAGGAGCCAAAGTGTCTTGTGTAGCAAAGCAGGAGAGGCCAGGAACTCAGAAAAGGGAGATGTGGCCTCCAAGAGAGCATGTGAAGGGCAGCCAGACCTGGGAGACTCTTGACACCCCCCCCGGAGCTTCATTTCCTAAAGTCAGGTTTAAGTCCTGGCCTTTGCCAAGTCTTCATGGGGCTCGTGTCTGCAGGGGAAGTGAACAGTAAACTTAGACGCAGATGAGTAAACATAAACTTTGCTGAGAAACTGACAGAGGTGAGGCTGGACTTCTCTGAAGAGAAGGCATTGGATGCAACTGAAGGGTAAGAAGGGCCACCTGGGTGAAGGGGCGGAGGAAGTGCATTCCCACTAGAGGGAACAGCAGTTGCTAAGGCGTGCGGCAGAAGAGAACTCAGCACATTCATGTTCATGGAACTGAAGAGGGGGAGCTTGGCTATCGCAGGGACTTGTCACAGAGCGGTGCCTGGATTTTAACCTGAGTGTGGGGGAAGGCTTTGAAGATTTAGGCAGAAGGGTCATGGGATCTGATTTATGTTTTTTTTTTTCAATTTTTTTTTTCAACGTTTATTTATTTTTGGGACAGAGAGAGACAGAGCATGAACGGGGGAGGGGCAGAGAGAGAGGAAGACACAGAATTGGAAACAGGCTCCAGGCTCTGAGCCATCAGCCCAGAGCCTGACGCGGGGCTCGAACTCACGGACCGCGAGATCGTGACCTGGCTGAAGTCGGACGCTTAACCGACTGCGCCACCCAGGTGCCCCTGATTTATGTTTTTAAAACATAATTGAAACATAATTGAAATTGAAACGTTAAAAGTGCAACCGTGTAAGTACTAGATGGAAACAGGAGAGACTTCCTTTGAAATCTTAGAGTAGAGGACCTTTATAATTATGCCCCCAGATCTAGATATCAACGACAACAAATCAACAGCCTAGTAGAAAAATGCACAAAAGATATAAACAATTCACAAGGAAGAAAAAGCAAATGACCCCTAGTCATATGAAAGATGCTCAGCCTTACTTAGATAAGAGAGATGCACTCCACTTGAATGGCTCAGTTGGTTCAGCATCTGACTTCGGCTCAGGTTATGATCTCACAGGAGATCAAACTCTCACAGCTCGAGAGTTTGAGCCCAGCGCCAGGCTCTGTGCTAACAGCTCAGAGCCTGGAGCCTGCTTTAGAGTCTGTCTGTGTCTCTCTCTGTCCCTCCCTGGCTTGCACACTGTCTCTCTCCCTCTCTCTACCTCTGCCTCCCTCTCTAATATGAATGAATATTAAAAAAAATAAGAGAAATGCACATTGAAACTATGCCAAGTTGCCATTTTTTCAAGAGTATGAGAAAACTGGCAATAATGCACAACTTTGGGCACACATTCACTTGGTGAGAGTTTGCAGAAACGGACCCTGTCATACGTTGCTTGTGGAAGATGCATTTGGCATTAGCTATCAGCGGCCCCACTTCTGGAAATTTGCCCTACCTCCTACGTGAGAAAGGACATCAGCGCCAGGGCATTCACGACAGTAACTTTGTAAATAAATAAAATAAATATATGTATGTATGGAAATAGCTCAGGTTTCTACCACGAGGGGAGCATCATGGTCCATCTGTGTAGGATGGGGGAGGTGGCGAGAAGGGAGTGAATGAAAGAGAGGTTTTGGAAGTAGGACTGGTAGGGGAGGGGAGGGGAAGTAGGACTGGGAGGGGAGGGAAGGGGAGGGGAGGGAAAGTAGGACAGTGAGTATCGCGGGGGCCAGGGAGAAGATGAAATAAAGAATGGCCTCCAGTGTCAGACTAGAGCACCCGAATGGATGGAGACGGGGGCGGGGAGGGGGTGAAGGGGTGCAGGGCAGGTGCTGTGATGGCTCATGATGTATGTCAAGTTCTTGGCCCAGTGCTAAACACATGATAGACCCCATGACAGCCCAACAAATATACATTTATTTATTTATTTATTTATTTATTTATTTAAGTTATGGAATTTTTTAAAGTTTTTTTTTAAATTTATTAATTTTTTAATTTATATCCAAGTTAGCATATAGTGCAACAATGATTTCAGGAGTAGATTCCTTAATGCCCCTGACCCATTTAGCCATCCCCCCTCCCACAACCCCTCCAGTAACCCTCTATTTGTTCTCCATATTTAAGAGTCTCTTATGTTTTGTCCCCTTCCCTGGTTTTATATTATTTTTGCTTCCCTCCCCTTATGTTCATCTTTAAGGTTTATTTTTTTTTGTTTTGTTTTTATGTTTATTTTTACCTTTGAGAGAGAGAAAGAGTGCCAGCAGGGCAGGGACAGAGAGAGAGGGAGACACAGAAACAGAAGCAGGCTTCAGGCTCTGAGCTGTCAGCACAGAGCCCAATGCTGGGCTCGAACTCACAAACCGCAAGATCACGACCTGGGCCAAAGTCGGACGCTTAACCGACTGAGCCACCCAGGTACCCCTAAGTGATGGAATTTTTTAAACTTGAAGTTTAATCACATACGATTGTACATTAGTTTCAGGCGCACAGCACAGTGATTTAGCCATTCTGTACAGTACTCAGTGCTCACCACGGTATGTGTTGTCACCATTGGTCACCAAACATTATTACAATGTTATTGACTGTATTTCCTATTATTTCCTGGGGAGGTGAGGCCGCTTCTTCTGTGCTAGGCATTCATGCTCTCCTCTCACTATCTGGGGAGGTCCCCTGATAGTCTGGGGCGTGGAGGGGCTGTGATTCCCCTTTATCAGCTGAAGCTCAGGTCTTGTTGGGGTCCCAGCCTGGATGGTCCGAGGACCACGGAGACCCAAGTCTGCCTGACTCCCAGCCGCTGCGACCCCCGGAGCCACACTTAGAGACCTTTGCGGGAGGAGTGGGTATTGAGAAAGGTCAGGGGCTTCCAACACCCCTCCTGAGTAATGCTCCCACCCTGATCCAGGCCTGCCCAACAGATGTGTGCACAGATCCCGGGGTGTGGCAGTAAGCAGGGCTCCCCAGGCTGTTCACCTCTGTGGGTTCTGCACTGGCACCTTCCCACTCATCCCTAGGAGGGGACTGGTTTTGATTTTCTTTCACCCAGGCCGGTTTATGTAGCTGGGATGTCTCTGGTAGCAGCTATACCCGTATAAATCTAACAGCTATAGGAGAGTCTTCAAACATAGCAGAGCCAGTTTTGTGGGCCGAGAGGGCGATTTCCTTCCCCAGAGCATTTAGGATTATTTTCCACGAGGGGACATGGTGCTCCCTCTCCTGGGAGGTTTTATCGCCGTGCTGCCCAGGGGCCTGAAAAACTAATGGCCTCATCCCTCTGAAACCTCCTGGGCCTCCCATGCCACAGGACCAAGTGCCCACGCCCCCTCCTGCTCCACCAGGGCCTTCTCAGGTGAGCTTTGTGGCCCTTCTCTGCCCCCTCGCCCACCTCAACCCCTTGCTCTCAGCAGCATAAAGACTCCTGGGCAGGCTTTTCACTGATGAACCCCCCCTTGTGGCCCAGCACCCACTGAGCCCGGGCCCACGCAGTGCCCGCACCACGATGCCCTCTGGCGCCCTGGATATTCCTTTTCAGCTCCTCTGCCTGCTCTTGTGCCCAGCCCCCAGCGCCCCCCCCCCCCCCCCCGATCACACTCGGGCTCAGGGAAGCCCCACACGCCTTCCTTGTGGGTGGCCCTGGGCACGCACCAAGTCCAGAGTCCAGACACTCGGTGGTAGTGAGTGTGGTGCTGGAAACTTCCCCCTGCTTCGGGAGTTTTCCATGGGGGTGCTTCACACATACAGGATGAGGATACCCCTCTTTTGTGGTGGCCGAGCCAAGCATGGGCTCTCCCAGGAACCGTTCATGGAAGGAACAGGTGCCGTCTGCCAGGGTGCTGCAAGCGTTTGGCTGCTTTCTGTAGTGTTTACAGCCCCCTGCACTCGATGGGGGGGGGGAGGGGGGCTCCTTGATATGCGTGGCTCACTTTGATGTCCTGGGGAGCTCGGTGGAAGCCCTTGGAGCCGGAGCAGCAGCTGGGGGACAGGCATGGTGGGGAGGGGACGAGGTCCTGGGGAACCTTCGTTCACCCGAATGGCGGCTCCCCAGCGCCTCAGATTTCCAGCAGCACCTTCCATTCTGGGAGCCCCGGAGGGGCCGGCTCCCCACTCTTCTTCCCAGACTTTCCGGAGTGACATGCGTCCTCCGATTTTCTGAAAGGTTCCCACTGTTTTGGAGACACAGAGCACATGGAGGGTACAAACTCTGCTTTTCCGGGGTGCCTGGGTGGCTCAGTCGGTTAAGCGTCCGACTTTGATGCAGCCCTCTGTACTGTCAGAGTTCAGATCCTGTGTCTCCTT